TGAAGAGTTACTTTAATCTGCACCATTTATTGTGCATGCATGCTGTGACTCAATCACGTTTTGCACTAAATGACCGATTTCTGGGTCACTGACATTGCCATTATTCACCCCAAAGTCACCATTTTATCTCCTCACATTAAGAATGAGGCCAACGTCTAGGCCATAAGATCTTTGTCCCCAACAGTACTTCCCATTTTGTCCCCATGTAGAAAACAGGAAGTGACACTTGATGACCCAACCAGTCAATTATCTTTTCTTTTACAGTGGGAACTCTAGAGTTACACACTGGCACAGTCAAGCTCGGGATCATAATCCTGCTATAATGTGGGTTGGGATTTTATGGATTCCACACTTCGTTTATAACAAGGTATATTTATAATGTAACAGTGTATATTGTACAGTGAACCCTGTGAAGCACTGTGAGGTGGACGCCTGATGTGAAATGTCAATTGCAAGAATTATTATTATATTATCCTTGCTGGTGACCGACAAGTGATGAGACAAGCAGCATGTTTTATTATGAATTGCTTTGTTGCATTGAAGAGATTAACAAACATGGTGGGGGGGAAGCATTTTGAATTGTTGAAAATTGAAAATTGGTTAGGGTAGGTTTCACAGCAGAACATGGGAGTGGAACAAAGCTTTACATTATGTCACCATCTGCTCACTGGTGCAGCACTCTCTGCTCTACAGTCTGATTATTTTTGCTTAGCTAATTATCAATTAAGTTAGATCCAAAACACTGCTCATTTGGCCCCTGAAACAACTCATATAACCTTAATACCAAGAAAAATACAGTACTAACTATGCATCTTGCTCAGGTCCCCGCAGCTTGGGTGGCAGTCAGCTGTGTGAGATGTCATCCAACATGAAACACACTACATAGATGTAAATTATTGTTATTGTTGCCAAGGCTAATTAAAAATAATGAGCACTTGGGCAAAGCACCTGAAGATAGCTTGAACGTTTTGAACTGGACCCAAGTAGAAGAAAGTGCAGCAAAATGCAGTCTGATTATCAAGGCCATTCGAGTCTGCTGCAGCTCAGTGAAACTATCACATTGGTCACATAAAGGTTTCTCTGTACAGACTGTGTAAAACAACAGATGGTCAGGGCGCACTCTTCATGTGTGTATAACTGCATTGGTCATGCAGGTGTCTCCTTGGCATTGGCTCTTCCAACTGGCCTGAGGCAGGTAGAGGAGATCTAGGCGAGCTGTGTTACACCCCATACAGGTGTTATTTGACCTGACAGACAGTCTGTGGCTCTCTGTTTACTGACCTTAGCACTTGGATACTTGCCCTTTCACCCTCTACCCTCCCTTTCTCATCGCTCTATAATATTAAAAATCCTTGGATTTTCTATAGTGCCTCAACGTGCTTTGTAGGATTTACTGTAAAGTATAGTGACTGTGTATGTTGTAGGTGATCTGATTCTATTCATGCCCAGCACGACAATACAACACAACATCGTTGTCCCTCACGCTTGTGTGTATTAATGAGAGCTACAGATTGTTTGTGCTGAATTTAAGGCAACACTTAGTTGGGGTGGGCATCAGTTGGTTGAATGTAAAGCTGCAGAACTTTCATCTTGTGATCTGTGATGTCAACCACCCTTAAATAGACTACAGTGCTGTCCTCTACTGAAATATGAGATGTGTGTTTTCCTCTGGATAATCAGGGAGGAGCAATTCTACCCTCACGATAGTGAGTCCGTGGGAACCAAGCACATCGGCTGATAAAATGAAATCTGCTCTGTCGTGATTTTCCCAAAACAGTGCACCACAGAGAAACTTGGGAATGTCAAAGGTGCAGGAGCTTTATATAACGTAGGGCCCTGTAACAAAGTGTACTCTGCTGACATTACTTAAACTGTCCTGAAGAGAAAGAACTTGGAAATGAAAATATGCAATATTTTACATAAAAATAACATCTCCGAACACTACCCACGTGCACACTATATGTTCCTTGGCAGACAAACCCAATGGCCACTGCTGAAAGCTCTGTGTCAGCTTCAGGACAAACATTGTGCTGATCACGAGGAGGGCAGTGTGGGGGGTGTGGGGTGTGGGGGGGGAGTGCGACGTGGTGGGGGGGTTCTCACAACTAGTGTTTAGTTATCAACCTCTTCAACTACAATTTTTGTATCGTATTTTATACTTTCTCATTTCTAAATAATGTAAGATACATTTAATACTTCAGCAGATTCTATGCACACTCATTTTAAGAATAGTGTAGGATATACTTGGACATACTGTACACTGTGGAAAATAAACATATAAAAAAGGTATGTGTATGAATATCATTCTGTCACTTATTACTCGCGGTTTAAGATAAACTTCTCTCTATCTCAGCTTTAGATAACACAGCAGTAAGGCAGCTCCATATTCTGAGTGCTTTCAAGAGGAGAGTACTATAGTTCCCACAGCGACCAGTACCAGTCCTATGTGGTCTCTCTTGGCCTCTCCTATACTCCCACTGATATTTTTAGACTTTAATTGCATCCTATGTGTGCCTCCGAGTAAATGTATTTCCTAATATAAGCGTAACTAACTCCCATCCTAAATTTATACTTTGTAAAATGTTGTAATCATTTTAAAATAATTATCTTAATCTGATACACTGATTGTACAGTGCCATGGGACATCCTCCCGACGTGAAAGGCACAATACAAATGTAATTTTGTTATTGTTGTTGTAATCAGAAGCTGAGGCAGAGGTAGAGTGGGTATAAAAAATAAATTTAAAAAACGTATTTTTTTTACAGATCAGTGAGTAGTTGCAAGATCTGTTGGCAGCAATAAATGGGAAAGAAGTCACTAAACCATGCCAGTCACATTCTTACCTATACACAGGCTCCATGCTTAATCACTGTATAATAAAGCCACGGGGAAGTGGCAGACTGCACAGAGCACAGTTACTATTCAATATAAGACCATGGTCGAGACAACAGTCCAACCTCACAGACTAGCAAACCTTCTTGTTACTGTATGAGCACAGATTGCAGGTTGAGAGCACAATGGTCAGTGTCACTGTTCATATCATTATGTTCCACCAGGGGCTTGTTTTAATCAATGCACATCATGAATGGCCAAAAAAATTCACAATGTTATTGAAGAGTCAGTGGTGTTCAGAATGCCCATAGGAATGATTTATTTTAACAATCGAATCAAGGCGATGCGGGGTAGGTATAAATGAGAGTTGCTGCTCCACAATGCTCTGTACTGCTGGAAATCCACTCACTTTATTTCCAGGAGCATAAATAAAGCATAAAACCCATTGCTGTGATGTCATAAACCCACTGCTGTGCTGTCCTCTTCACCTCCTGACTGAAGTTCCCAATCGCCCCTCCTCGCCAGCCTCTCCACTTCCACATCCGGAAGCTCCAGCTCATCTAAGCTCTTGGCCGCCTGTATTCTTTCCTGCTCCAAGCTTCACACATCCAGCAATCCCGTCCTTGCCAGGCTCCAGTGGCATCTTGTCTCCCAGCAAATCCACCTCACGATCCTCATCCTCACCTACAAATCCCTCAGCCCTGCGATTTTCTCCAGCCTCACTCTCTTGCTGGCTCCCTCCACCTGTTCCTTGCCTTCTCCACTCCACCTTCAGCTTCCCTCCCCCTCCCAAACACCAGAAATACCATTCGGATTAGGATAGTCTAGTCTGTTGGGTGACTCAACCTCCCAGACCAGTCTTGAGTAATTATAAGTCTAACAATGGCTTTCAGTTGTTTAATGAAGCTCTAGAGATGATATAAGAAAAAGCCCCACTACAAAATTCACACATATGTATCATTACACTAGAGTTTAACTTTCCATCTGAATGAATAGGAAATTAAATTTTATGCTGACCATGACACAAGCAAACCCCAGGGATGCTGCAGGCAATGGGATAGATTGATTTAATCCTTCCTCACCGTTTGGATAAACAACAACAGCTCTATCTGAACAATGGCCAATTAATCACATACACAGCCATTGTTGATTCAATGGTGACTAGAACTTGTCCTGGTAAACATGATGGAGTCTCCAAGGAAACATTGGGATACACTCAGCAGCCATGTCCAAAGTAACTTATACCTTCAGTTTATTTGCTTTCACCTGCAAATAGTGAAGAATGCCAGCCACAACATCCACCCTGTTTCTTCTCTGCTGCATCATTAAGTCTCTGAGAAAATCTGGTCACCAGCTGCATAGAAACACGTTAACTTGAAACAAATGTTCCCCTTTACCAACAGACAGTCAAACATTTTGCTGACCGCATTTCTGACCATTATCCCCACCTCTTACCATTGCTCCTGTAACATCGACTTCAGCATATCTCAAGAGATTTTCTCCCCCCACCGCCACAAACCTGTACTTCTAACAAATTGCTCCTGCTTGCTGATTACCCTAATTTCAGGATTAGAGTTAAAATGTTTTGGTCAAAGTCACTCTATGGTCCCTGCAGTTCTGGTTTCCTTATTGCAAGGCAGAACTGTATTTTAGTTGCATGGAACCTGGTTACTTTGAATATAACATTTTAGTCACTCACATTTTATTAGTGCTTGTATTTTGTGGAACCTCTTAGTTGGGATAAGGTGCAAATGGCTTTGCTGACAGAATAGGACCAAGGTCATGGAACGGTAAAAGAACCATATGATGACATTTGATGGTTTAAAATTAGAGGAAGCAATGATTTAAAATCAACTGGCGGCACAACCAATTGTATATTCTCCAAAGGCATGGAGAAATTTGTTTGAATTTTAATATTTTCTACATTAAAATCTGACTGTAAAATGCATGAATTATTAATTTAACTGGACTCAATTTTAAAATTAGCATGTGCAAGCACCCTGGTATGATTCAGATGTGAAATAAATACAGTGAGGTATCTCATTCGGTTACAATTCCACTGAAGCACAGTTTTGTACCTGAAGTTGAAGCACAAGTAAGTGCATCGTCTCACAGACATTTGAAAAGGAAATTTTAGAAGAAAGTGAAGTATTAGAAGGCTACATTACCATCCTGTCCAGTGTTCTGTAAGTATTCCGTCAGGTCACAGCCAAAGGCACCTTCCTTTGCACCCTTGCGTTTTGTTTTCTGTTTTGCTCCCTTGTTCTTCATGGGTGAGCAAGTTGTCTTGAGTCGCCTTTGCCTCAATTTACTTCAACACAAAGAGCTGTTTGAAAGCAACCATTAGTGAAAAATTCCAGTGAATTCGACTTGATCAACAGGCAGTCCAGGCTTACATCTTGACACAGACTTTAGTCGACATGTAGTAGCAGAAAGTGGTTTTGCATCGTGAGTAAAAACAGACAGGATAGATTCCTTGGTAATCTTTCACAACAGGTTATTCAAGCCCTTGATGCAGATGCTGAGGTTTATTGTGCTTTAAATTGTTGAAAGATCAGAGTTTTCTCTCTCTTGTCGACTTGTGAGACTGAGAGTTTAAACATCAGCTTCCTGTCCTTTCTTAAAAGATTTTCCCCTTCCAAACATGTCAGTGGTTTATCGATTTGTGGTCAGGAAATGCTGTAAGAAACCAAGGAAGTGAGGCACTAGGACAGTTTTACCGTTAGCCAGGCCTGACAGCAGGCAGATAACGGCTCCAGCCTTTAATAGTCACAGCCTGACAGGAAACCTGGTGTAGGCCAGGCTTGCTGCTCAATGCTAAACCACATCCTGTTGAAATGTCTCTGCTTCAAAACACACACACACTGAAAAAAGAAAGCCCTATGTTTTCTATTAAGTGAATCCCAAAATGTTATGACCTAAGTATAATTATGTTAAAAAATCCTTACTTTAAATTGTCTTAATATAATAATATAATTAACCGTATTTTTAAAAAGATATAGTAATTTATGACTACAGTAACAAGTTGAATGAGATTAGTCGCAAGAGTTCTCTTAAAGCTTTCAAGTTGCAGGTCCACTGAAAAGAATTTGTGCTGAGCTGTAAGTAAAATACATAGATCTCTTTTTATTGCACCCAGCTCATTGAAGTTTCTCATGCCTATCTGTGACTTGACAACAAGTTAAACAATCTGTGAGCTATGTTGATTTGACTAGCAAACCAGAGCTACAGATCTGGCACTGTCTGTACACAGGAGGTGTTTGTGCAAAATCCCAGACTAACAGGAGTACACACCTTATTATTTCAGAACTATATTCCCTCAGTCTACACTGACATTAAGTACCTCAAACACTTTTGGATAAACTGAATTTTTAAAAAAAATTATAATATGATTTAAATTTGGTGTAGCTGTCACAGGGTGAGCTTCACAATGACAGAAACCTTTGCTGTTTTTGTACACAGCTCCCAAATCCCAGCGACAGAACTCTTAATGACAACTCACTGGTTTGTGACAGAAACCAGGCTGGACCAGCATTGATACAAGGCTTTGCTGTCATGTACCAGTATGTGGGTGTGACAGGTCTGATAGTACTAAAAACATTGCCAGGCCATCAGAAAAACAATTGTGTGCGATAAAGATTAAAGCAAATGTGCATCTCTTGTTTTATAGGAAGAAGGCAAGGGGATGATTGAACATCAATTGAAGCTATCCCCAACAAAGCAGTATAGAGACAGGATCCAATTTCTGTTTGGCTGCTTAGTTTGAAAACTAGCCAAAATGCATAGAAAGCTCTTAATACACACCAGCATTGACTAAAACAGGTCTATAATGATCCATTTCATTTCTACTTTACGGCTTCACAACATTTGTAAAAAAAATCATACTGCGTTATTCTTGATAACTTTATTAAATTTGAAATCCATTTTCCGAAGCGTTATAACAGACGAAGAACTAAGTTCATTTGACATGGATGGGAAGAAACTCCGCCTGGGTCTAGATTTATTCTATCTGTGAAGCATTTTCAAGTGTCCAGAATTTGACAAATTGTTGAAATCAGTCCTAATTTTGATGTTGGTTTTCTGAAGTTCTTAAAAGAATTTACAGAAAACCCGCTTCAAAATTAAGGCCGTATAAAATCTACATAAATGGAGTAAATCTAGATCCAGAATTTGTACCTCATACATCTGACAGGAAGGTTCGAGGGGAGGCAAACTGTGGGGGGAACAGTACTCAAATAGTCTAGGACCATGGCTGCATTTGACAAATGCTGTCCTAGACTTTGAGCAGCCCCCCTCCGCCCCCAACACACACACACACACACAGCATGAGGTGTGCAGCTGCCCTTGGCCAGCTTGAACATCCACACAGTGGTTGTCATGCAAAGCGATAGCACAAGCTCGCAGTCACTAAGCTGATCGCAACTCAACTGACAATTCTGGCCTTTATTCACATAGATTGCAATAATCATCTCAAAGTGCAGCAAGTTTGATTGAAAGCTTAAAGTTGTGGCCCAGCAATGTCATTGTTGTCTATGTCTGCACAGTACTGATGGTAAGGAAGGATGTAGTAAAGGATTGAAGCCTATCTCAGTGGTTTCACTGGTTTTCCCTATGCCGATTTCATCAGAACAACTTCTTACATTTCTTCTATATGTTGAGAAAGGGTACATAGTTATCATACCCTATGAACAAGGCATTTGTTCAACGATAATAATAATAATAATAATCCTTGCATTTGATATAGCGCGTTTCACGTCTTCTAGACGTCTCAAAGCGCTTCACAGAATATACTGTAAAGTGAATTGACTGTATATTTGTGGGTGAATGCGCACAGCAGTGTCCCACAAACAGTCATGGATTGAAAATGACCAATTTATTATTGTTTTTTGTTTTTTTAGAGGGAATATTATTAGGCGTGTGGAGTAAGGAAACTTGCCTGGAATTGAACTCAGGTCTCTCGCTTGCAAAGCGAGTGCTCTAACCACTGAGCAAGGATTAATATTATTATACTTTATTAATTGTCTATTTCCTCCTAAAGGGTTATCCAACAGTCGGTACAGTTGTAATGGGCTTAGCGGTTAAGAACGATTACGTGAGCTAATTTGCAGGCTATTGCTTTGCATGACCTGCACTGTATAACAATCACTGCCCACTGATTGGCCAAACCTGTTTTTTCAAAGATGGTAAACAAAAGATTGCTTTGATACTGGGATGTGAGAGTAATTACAGTGGTATTTTTACATTTTATAGATATCAGAAAGCTTTTTTTGAAAAAGTAGCACTGCGACCATCAGTAAGAGTTGGTTGCACACTGAGGCCACCAAACAAATTAGTCTTGAGCATCACTAGCCTAGAACATGCCTTTTTAAACATCATTGTGACTTTTTTTTGTCCTAAATAATTCTTGGCATATGCAATTGTGTCTGTCAGAGCTTGGAACTGGTCTTATCTGCAATCCCCTGAGACAGAAACGTCCGTGCAGTTATTTTTGGAAGACCTTGCTCACTCCCAGCTTTTTCATTGTTTGTATAGTTTCCTTTCAAATACTGAATTCTTACCAGCTCGAGAACAATTACCCCACACCCCAAACTAGCACAATACTATAAAGCTTGGGGTCCACAATTTAACCTTGAGAGAACAATTAGCAAAACACAGTGTAAAAAAAGAACTTGCATTTTATAGTACCTTATCCGTCAAAACATCGCAAAGCACTTGATAGTAAGTATCGTCAAGTGTGTGGTCTGTTTTGTAAGTAAATGCAGAAGCCTTTTTGAACATTTGAGGTGAATGACTGATTGATCTGGAGAATTGTAGATTTGAAGGAAGTCTTTTGAAATCATGCTTTTTTTGTCGTCCCCATCCCCCTGGTTTAATGTCTCATTCAAAGAACGACATCTTTAACAATGTCACACAACTGATATAAGGTTTGAATCAATATTTTTATGACCCACAGGGGAAACTGCTAGCAACTAAAGCCAAACTGAGACCTCACATGATTTTTAATTGTCAGAAGCTAATTAAATTGTTAACATTAAATACAAGATGGTTTCAAATATAAATGCCAATATTGGATGTTTGGGGTTTTGGGCTCCAATTTACAAGAGTGTGAGGAGAGTCAGAAGTATACATTATATTGAGCTAACCCATCCACATCTCTGTACTGCCAGGAGTGAAACAACTTCAGAACCTCACCATAAAAAAATGTTTACTAAGGGAAAAGGCTAAAAACCCATCTGAAAACAGCAGATACAATTTCAGTGAACACAGCCCAGTCACTGTGCAGAGACAGTACGTTGTCAAAAATAATAGACAGACAAAGGGAGGGGTCCTTTCACCGAGACACAAACAGAATGGTTTATTTTTGATCTTGCTAGCACAGGAATTGGTTTATTACTTTGTCAGCCACAATCTCTCTGAGTATTCTATCGTCACTTTGGCACGTTCGCTGCAATCACTTTCTTTTAAAATACACTGCAAGTGAACATTTTGTACTGTTTGCTCACCAGTCACAAGCTCCATTATTTGAGGTGGGGGTGGAGTAGGAGGTTAACCCATGTTTCAAAGTCAAAATTTGTATTGCAACCATTCAGAATTACCCAGATGTGCCAGAGATGACCTCTCTCTGATTCTGCTCTCAATGCCAATGTTGGTGAATTCATAGTTTTTACTTGAATATAGACACTTCATTTGTAACATGCTTTGCAGCTGTCTCCCTAACATTAGCACCTTTGAGCGAGGAGGTGGGAAATTGAGAGGAATAGAAAAATAACGTCCGTTTGGTAGAGCACATTCTTTTTAGCTGCAGTTAAGTACTAAAATCGTGTGAGCTGATTAGGGAGAGAGGGTGATAGAGATAAATATTTAGAAGCAGTGTGAGAAAATGCTAGTGAAATATTTGGAGTTGGTCATTTAACTTTGTTTTGGGCTCATTCTGATGTGAATTGGAGTAACTGTGCCCATTCCATTTTCAGATAGATCATTCTGCACTATGGCCGGAATTCTAAAATAGCAATCTATTTTAACTGTACTGCATTTGGGTCAGTGTGAAAATGTAGTTTTAAGCCTCTTATTTTTAATGCAGTATTCGGGTTACACTTTGTTCGAATCTTCCATATACACACACACCAGACATACAGACACACACATACACACACACACACACATATACACACACACATATACACACGCGCACACATATACACACACACACAATATAGAGGAGGTACTGCTGAATAAAATACGCATTACATGCCACACAGGTTGTGAAATTTGGCTTAAAAAGTCCAGTGAAATGAAAGAAATGGCTAATGTTATTAGGAGGTTATTCTAAAAACAATTACTCATGTTCTCCATGCAAGCAATATTGGACTGTTGCTTTGGTTCCTTCACACTAAGCACCATTCCTCAGCTGAAAGGGGAGTGGGAGCCCTGATCCCAGACGTGTGCCAGAGCCAGCTATTAAGGACGTGAGCCTGTTTTTGGTGTCTTCCCCTTAGAATTCTCTCCCTCTCGGTCACTTAGCAGTTCACTTCCAAAATCTCTCTACCTTGCTTCCTCTTATTATACCTCCCTTCTTTCTCTTAAAAAACATGTTTCTTTAGTCGGAATTTTAGGTCAATTTCATTCATTCTCCCTTATTTCTCCCAACTGAATGTCCATGCCATGTCCGTTAAGAGTTCAAGACATGAAAAAGAACAACTTGCATTTTTATAAGGCCCTTCACACAGGATAACATATATAAAAACTGGGTCTGACC